TTTAAAATCAGGGTTTCCCGAACGTGTATACCTTAAAGAACATAAATAGGTTCAAGAGGCATAGTTATTAAAAAAATAAATGATCATTTTTTTTTTAAAAAAATTTTTTTATACAATTTTAAAAAAAATTTTTCAATGTGGAAAAAAACAGCATAAATAAAAATACATCAGACATAACGTAGTTTTAATTCCACTGATACACTTCTTAATCTATCTAAAGTGTCGCAAACAGCAGGGTAAAAAATATTTTAAGAAATAAATATTTTATAGGCATTTAAATTTAACGTTAATAATTTTTTTGTCAAAATTATCTTACGTTCTAAGTTAAAAATGGCTATAAAATATGATTAAATGCAACTAACTATCTTAAAACCTGTGGCTAGTCATACTCTAAAGCAGTGGTCTTCAAACTGTGTACCACGGAACCCAGGGGTTTCACGAATCACAATAAAAAAAATCGAGAAGAAATAAATATGTATGCAAAATAGATTCACGTTCTGTATTAAGTTTGTATTGTAACAAGTGTATGTGAAGCTCATCCCCCGTATTCACTAAAACTAAAAATTTTATTTATATAATAACTTTATTTTGAAACACTTTTTTTTAAACTTTAATATTATTATGATATAACAAAAGAATATTAAAACGTTTTATCTTTATATATATACATTCAATTAGATTGTGAATACTCTATTGTTTATACTATCTCGAGTTCCACGAGATAATTTTATACTCGTTATTTAGCACAATGTCTTGTTAACAAAATAGTTTTCTAACACAAAATGCACCTTTTCACATTTGTGGAAAGCAACACCTTTAAAGAAGGAAAAAATATAAATACAAAAAAAAGTTGAAGTTAAAATCTAAAATTTTAAACAAGAAAATTTTTAAATGTTAGGCTGCAAACCCCTTTTATGAAAATACACGGAATTTCCACAGCTATAAAAATTTTTAAAGCCATTCAACGTGTTTAATGAAATATATTTTCAACGTAGTGGGTCAAAACGTATAAAAAGGAAAATTTAAAATAGAATATGAATGAAGATTTAACCCCCAATAGACCAATTCGACAGTTCGTGTGAAAAAAAAGGAAATATCTCGTTTTTCAAATATAATGCATGGATAAGGTGACACTAGAATCACAAATATTTTAAAGAGTAAATTATATTAAAAATAGGTTAAACGGGGTTTTAAAAAGCTCAAATCTTATTTTTTTTTTTGACAATTTTTTTTACTTTTTAAATTTTGTATAGTTTTTTAATCTTTCAAAAAATATTTTTTCTTTAATTTAGTTAGAACCCCTTAAAACCTTTTTTTAAAAAATCGTTGGGGCCCCCCCATTTGAATAAAAAAAGTAAACAAATTTTCGTTTCTGTTAAAAGTTGAATGTCTGTTTAAACCAAAAAAATTTACTTTTTTTAAATTAATTTTTTATTTATTTTTTTTTTTTCCTCCCTTTGAAGTCCAATGTATAAATTAAAATCAATTTATCTCAAAATGTAAATTTTGATGTTCATTAAACCTTTTTTAGAAACTACTGTTCCAAGGTATGTAAATTTTATGATATATTTATAATGAACTAATATATGTAAAATGGCTTTTGTAAAAAATAAAAATATATTTTTTACAAATTCCTTTATGGGAAAAATGGGTCAAGTTTCACTATGTTTCATAAAATATTTTATAAAAATGAAAAATTCAAAAAACTTCAGTATAATGAAAAGGGTCTTTTAAATTGTATGAAAAATTTCAAACATGTACATATAACAAAATTTTGAGAGAAGGTACATTGAAAACAGGCAATTTAACATTGTCGGTAGAGGTTTCCTACTCCCTTTAATAATAAATAATAAATGATACTTTTTTTAATTGCCTTTACATAAAGTGCCTATAACACGTTAATCTACTTTAAATATTATTTTGAGATATATTCTTGTGTGTAAAATAGGGTTTCACGAAAACACTTTCTAGTTCTAGGGGTTCCACGAAAACACCTTCAAATTCTAGGGGTCCATGAGTTCAAAAAGTTTAAAAGACCACTGCTCTAAAGCGTTTATTGCGTAAGTGTTACATGCTTCATTGAATTTAATAGGATTATCTAGAGGATGTTTCATTTTTCATACAAAAATTTCCTCTTCAAAAACGCATTAAAAAATATTTTTATAAGTTATATAATGCAAATATTAGAAAAACAGCTAAACTTTCCAGTTTTATATAATATTTCTCCTTTTTCCTTGATACACATATTTTTTCTAATGGCCCTAACATCTAACACCTAAAAATCACATTTTCAACATAGTTGGATACCTTGAAAAAAAAAAATATTTTTGTTTTATGATGCATATTCGAATTCTAGATTCTTTTTGTAACATTAGATATTTTTATTTATGTATGCAATTAAATTTCACTCGTAATCTGATAGAAAGTTTTAAATACGTATTTAATTTCAGTTGTGACCCAAAGTTTTGATACTACTTCCGTATTATACCGTCGAGCGATTTCACCAAATCGAAAACCGTCACCAAATGCCTCGATATGCAACCAATAGTAGTAAATCCTTCCTGTGAGTTTTCGAACACAATAATAATAACGATGATAGCATTTGGCAAATATTTCGAATTGGTGACATCTTTTAGTTTGCGAAACTGGTTGGCACTATAATGCGTCAGTGCCACTTTAAGTTATGTTGTACTTTTAAAAGGAGTCTCAGGGGTGTTAACTTTTCTAGAGGGCTGGAAATATAAACAATATTCAAATATACATAACTCTTTGAAATTAAAATTAAATAATTCGAATCTTTTACACATTATTTATAAAGGAATGGGACTACAGAAATGTATAAAATGTTTAAAATATAATCATAATTTAAAAATTATAAGTATATGAAAATAAAAAGAAACATTTCTATAAAAATATTAATTAAGTTTTTACTTCCCCATGCTATTTTCAAAAATAGTTGCTTTAATTACAAACTATAGTTGATTTATAAAGTTAAATGTACCCCATTACACTGTGTTTTTTATATTTGTAGAATAATAAATTCTTTTTTTAAAAAAAAAAAAAATTAATTTTCAATTTTTTTTAAATTTCAATTTTTTTCAAATATTTTGAAATACAAAAAATATTATTCTTAAATGATGTGGGGTTTTAAAAAAGAGTATGATACTTTTTTAAATTCTATAAATTTTTTATACATCAGAAGTTTTTTTTTAAAAAATAGCAAAAAATTTTTATTAAAAAAAATTATTTTTATTTTCATATGCTTATATTTTTAAAATTTATGATTTTTTCAAACATTTGTTCTTTTGGATAATCCTTTGTAAATAAGAAAAATTCAATATTTAATTTAAAATAAAAATTATACCCGTTAGAAATTTTTTTTTTTCCCCCTCGGGAAAAAAATTTAAAACCTAACCTTTTTCGTTCCCTCACACATAAAACTTATTTGACTAGTTGTTTTTTTTTTTGCAATTACAAATGTACTTTCAAAGTATATTTTGAAGCAATCACTAATTTTGATTCGCATGTCCGTTTAATCTACCTGAATGTATATAATATAGCTGGCAACTGAAATTTTTATACACCGCTTCGCATTTTTATAAATAGTGTTGCATATCTCTTGTGTTTATAACTTTAAAATCGGATGATGCTTTGCTCTTTGATGCTCCAATTTCAATATAGGGTACGCAAAATTATTAAGGTTAAAGGAATTTAAAAATGGATTCAAATGTTTTAAAAGAAAAAATAATAGTTATCTCAAAAATACTTAATTGCTAGTAACGGTATTTATTATTAATAATTCAAACCAACTCTTAATTGTTCCTATTTATTTATGAAAAAAGAAATATATCTAAAAAAGAAAAACATATCTTAATAGAGAAAAGACAATTAGAAAGAAATTTAAGAGTTATATATATAGACTTATACTTAATTTTTCTTTGAAATCATAACATTGTAACAAAGAGTATTCTAAAATATAAATTTTTTCAGTATAAGCCTTTTTATTGTTAATTAAATTTTTTAAAAGAAGAGATGTTCTCTTTTATTTCTATTTCAATTAAATAATTTAAACAAAACAATGCAGAAAAATTGCATTAAATATTTTTTTAAACTTCACTCCTTTCAACAAAGTTGAATATCTCCTCTCCTATTATAGCGCTAAGAAGAAAAAAAGAAAACATTTTTCTTTGAAACAAATTATGATTTAAATAAATAACAAAATTAATTGGTGATGAATTTTATGGAGAAATAACTGCATATGCATTTCTAATTTAATAACTTTATTATAAAAATTTTAATAAGAAAGTTCTTTTATCAAAACAGAGAGCAGAAGTTAATAGTTTCATTGTTACTAAATCTAAAAGAAGAAGAATTTTAAAAAAAATACACAAACTTAAATCTGTTTTTATATTTTATCATTTTAAAAACAGGTTGCTCATTTTTTCAAGACAGATACAAAAAAAGTTTGTCTCTTCAAAAATATTATTAACTTAAGCCAATGGTCCTCAACGCCCGGGTCGTGGACCGGTACCAGTCCGTGGATCAAATAATACAGGACTGCACAAGGAACAATAAATTATTTTCATTTCATTTTCATTTAAATTATTTCTTTTTTTTTCTCTCGTGTTCATACGACTTGTTGCGGAAATCTCATTTTTATTTTTCATTTTAATTCCTCTTCTATTAATTCTTTTTATATATATATATATATATATATATAAAATATATATATATATATATATATATATTTTAAAAATTTATATATATATATATATATATATATATATATATATATATCTTGTTAAAATTTTTCAATTTAATAAATACTTTCAATGCATCAATTCCAGTTCAAATACATTTTTTTAACTTGTAGTGGATGACATTTCATATTTATACAGTTTTCACAAATAAACATTAAAAAAATTTTAAAAAATTCATAAATAGTAACAAACAAAAATAATAGTCCAACAGCATACATAGAAAGGAAAATCGTTCGTTTTATCCCCGTAGCACAATGGATTCTGCATTGAACTTCTAATCCGAAGGTCGTGGGTTCGAATCCCACCTAGGATGGCCTTGTTTCTGAGAATGTGATTTTTTTTATTGTACTATTTTATTAGAATAATTAAATTTAATTAATTAATAAATAGTAACAAACAAAAAAATAGTCCAAAACTATATATCGAAAGGAAAACGGAATATTGCAAGGGAAATCGCTTCCAATTTTGTTACTTAATATTGTGATTCTTTCATATGTATATACACATTTATATTAATTCTAACTATTTAATAAAAAATAACTTAAATAAAAATTTTCTTTGTTGACCTAAGTAGGAATTGACTTAATATTTTTTAATAATACTTGTTTCTATTTTATTCTGAAAGCACGTTTAAATACAAACAAATCATTTATTGAATGAAAACTATCTAAAATAGAAACAATCAACGTCCCCCACCCCTCCTCAGCGGGCCGCGGTAAAATAACCAAGCGTTGACCGGTCTACGGCGAATAAAAGGTTAAGAGCACTGACTGAGACCGTAAAAAGAGCAATTTGAAATATATTTATAGATAAACTACTTCATGGACAGAGACTTACGTATTGAAGCATTAGTTATTGCGACAAAGAGCGTCACTAAAATTTCAGTTATCTTATTTATGTTTATTTAAAGGATGAATATTAATTTTGTCACGATACAAACGCAATAATTACTTAAAAACTGCTTATAATTCTAGAACATCAACAATTTCTAACAAAAATTACTTAAGGTATCCGACTACCCTAAAATCATGATTTTTTTCAAAAATTGACAAATTTTTTTTATGATTTTATTTTATAGGCCATCTTATTAGCTTAATAAAAATCCCCTGCTTTTTTTTATTCCGGGAAAAAAAACTACAAGTGTTTTAATAAAAAAGATGCCAAAACCCTTTTACAAAAAGAGGGAACTTTAAAAGCTTTTTTACTCGAAATGTTTTTTTTTCTCAAAAAATTTGAAACGGGGACAGCGATCGCTCAAAAAAGTTTTGAAAATTTTTTTGCTTAAAAATTTTTTTTTGAATGTTTTGTATAACAGTAGAAGTGTTTTTTTAAACCCTTTAGATTTATCAATCACTTTTTTTCAAAATTTACAGTCTTTTATGTGAATATAATCACTGTTTTTGCAAAATTTTATAGAGTCAAAAAGATAGAGTGCTCTAGTTTTTGTAAAAATTTTAAATATCTATTATTCTGAAGGTCATTTCAAAAAATGAATTTTCCCAAAAACACTTTAAAAAAAAAAGGGGAATTTGCTCAAAAAAAGTTTTGTACAGAGGGCCCCTTTATTTAAATTTTTTTACATTTTTTACCAACTTTTTCCTTTTAAAAGGATGGGCTAAGTTCGAAACCGTGATTTTGCAAAAAAACGTATAAATGGATAATATTTATGATATTTAGTGTCACCAGAAAAAATGTATATAAAATTTTTTAAAAATAGATTATAGTAAAAATTATTTTAAAGGGAACAAAATTTTGACAAAAAGAAAAATTTTTAAAAATTTTTTAAAATGTTCTCCCTTTGTGAAAAAAAGCTTCCATTATTAATATTTTGCCCGTATATGGCCCCCGGGCCTCGTACAGAGTCTCAAAATGAAATTTTTTAAATATATAACTTGAAAGGGGGGAAACCGTTTTTACACAAAAGAGGGGAAAATTTTTTAAAAAAAAACGCCGATAATTATTTTAAATTTTGGGTTTTAACTCTGAAAATAATGTGAATTTTCAAAAAATTTTAGTTGAGCCTCTGTACAGAGGTCTGAGCTAATACGCAAAATTATTATTATAATAGAAGCATTTTTAACAAAACGAGAACATTTTTTTAAAAAAAAGGGTTTTTCTAAGTTCATTTTTTTCCGAAAAAATTTGGGATTTAAATAAATTTTTTTTGTCAATATATGTCCTTAAAACCATTTTATACATGTATTCTAATCTAAGTGACACTAAATATCTTGAACATTACCCATTTATGCGCCTTTTTAAAATCACGGTTACGCACGTAGTCGGATACCTTAATAATAATAAATTTTTTTCTGTTTTCAATTTTACGATTTTTTCCTTAAAATATACTAAATAAATCTAAAAATCACAAAAAAAAAATTTCCACATCTTCATTTTTTAAAAAAAAAAGTTGTCGCAAGTAGTAATAAAAATTCACCCGCCTCCTTTTAACGAACTTGACCACACTTCCCTGTATGAGAAGAGGATTAAAAAAAAAAAAAGGAGAATATATTTCTTGGAAAAGATTTATGGCTTAAACGAAAAAAGGGCAATTGGAAATGAATTCATGGACAAATTGCTTCATCCACAGACATGTGCAATTTAGCATTGAAATCATGATACTGCGACAAAGAGTAGGGGGCACCAAACTGTGGAGACATTAGTCTAATCGATAGGATTCCCATGCAAGTCACGCAGGTTGGGAGGGAAAAGGCTCCTCCTTTGTCCGACCCCTTGTTGGAATGAGGAACAAGGAGAACAGTACTCCATTCTCGTTTATTATATTCTTGGAGACACCTCGAAATATGAATAAATGCCATTTTATGCTAAGTTGTTTCATCTAGGGTATTGAACCGTAGAATTAAGGGTGAGATTATTATAATTTTAGGATTATTCGTGTTATAAACTGTCCATTGTAAATGTGTTGCCAGGGCAACGACTATGTCCTTTGTTATATGCGGAATTTTTAAAGAACAAAAGCATTTTAAATGATGCTTTAACGAGACGTTTCCTTTAGTTGGCAGTACTGGGCAGTATTTTATCCAGTCATACAGCTAGGTGGTTTAGAGTGGGTACATTGTACATGTTGCTGAAAGGGAAAATAAAGGATTTAAAATTTCGAAAGGTAAAAAGTATTTAAATGGATTTTTGTGAAATATGTATTCTTGAGATCTTACTGAAAATCGAGATTAATTGAAATACAATGAAAATCGTTGAAGGTATCCGACTACGTTCGGAACCGTGATTTTGCAAAAGCGCGTAAATGGATAATATTTATGATATTTAGTGTCACTTAGATTAGAATACATGTATACAATTGTTTTAAGAACATTACGACAAAAAATTATTTAAATACAATATTTTTTGGCAAAAAATTAACTTAGAATAATCTTTTTTCCAAATGTTCTCCTTTTGTAAAAAATGCTTCTACTGTATTAATATTTTGCCTGTATTCAGTTCAGACCTCTCTACAGAGGCTCAACTAGAATTTTTGAAATGCATAACTCGGAAGTCGGTTTATCCATGTTTTACTAAAACAGAAGGGAGAAATTTTCAGAAAATACGCCGATAATTATTTCAAATGGTTGTAACTCTTAAAATAATGTGAATTTTTCAAAAATCATAGTTGAGCCTCTGTACAGAGGTCTGAGCTATATACAGGCAAAATATTAATACAATAGAAGCATTTTTTACAAAAGGAGAACATTTGGAGAAATGATTATTCTAAGTTAATTTTTTGCCAAAATATTGCATTTAAATAATTTGTTTTGTCATAATATCCTTAAAACAATTGTATACATGTATTCTAATCTAAGTGTCACTAAATATCATGAAAATTACCCATTTATGCGCTTTTTTAAAATCATGGTTCCGAACGTAGTCGGATACCTTAACATGAAACTGAGGAGGACTGAAATATTTTTTCATGTTGAAAGAATGTCGTGTTAAAGGATATTGGCAAGAAAAGTTTATTAAAGTACATTTTAAATACATAGATATGCACATATGCATGAACGGAGTGTCCGGGCTTAAAGTATCCAAAGGAATGGCTTATTATTACGGAACTACCCATCAGAATTTAATAAACTGTTCATCCATGGATTGGAAAACTATCCGAGATTTTTTGAGTCTAGTCCGATTAGCCGCACGTGCGTCCATTATTCGGTAATCGCAGACGATGAACTTGTTACACTGACTTCATTAGTAAAGATGTGGACGCCACAGTAAAAGTTTCAATATATACTTTGGTTAACGGAATTTAAATCAGTCACGCGTGTACAATGACGTTTTTGAACAGAATGGAATGTCGATCCTCCGACATCAAAATCTGTCCACCAATGGGAAAGAATCTTAAAGGAGACAGGAACTTCGGTATTTCAAACTGGCAAGTATCCATAAGTTTTCGTAATGGAAGACACTGTTGATCGTGTGCATGATTCATTTTGTAAGTCGAAAAACCTATTAGGCAAAAATAAGGCATTCCATTCTGTTCGAACGCCTGTGAAATTTTGACTGATTTAAATTCCTTTAAACCCAAAGCCACTCATTTTTTACGGCGCCATATCTTTACTAATGAAGTCATTAAAATTTTCCTCTGCAATTGCCCCCCCGGGCCCGATCGGCTGATAAAAATTTAATTTTTTAAACCATGGTTACACAACTTTTTGTGGTAGTTCCGTAATAAAACATTTTTGGAACCACCCCGGACCCCCTGAAAAAAATCAATTATAAAAAAATTCAAAAACTTTATGAAATTTTTAAAAATTTTTTTTTTTTTAAAAAATTTTTATTTTTTAAAATTAATATGATATTTTTTTTCAAAAACCTATTTGTACCAAAAAAATTTCTTAAAAAAAATTATTTCACATAAAGGGCGTAAATTTTTTAAATCAGTGTTTAATTCAAAAAAAAACCCTTCCTTTTTACAAAAATTTCCCTAAAAAAAAATTTTTTTTGAAAAAATTTTAAATTTACCGCCCCTTTTTATTTTTCGGGGAAAAAACAACACATTTCGAGTAAAACGCATTTAAAGTTTGACATCTGTGTAAAATTATGGCATCTTCTTTTATTAAAACACATGTAGTTTTTGTTCTAGTGAGTGGAAAATAAAAATCTGGGTACTTTTATTAAGCTAATAAGATGATCTATAAAATAAAATCATAAAAAACTTTTGTCAATTTTTGAAAAAAATCATGATATTAATACAAAATTTTCAAGTCTTTTGAAAAACAAAACATTTATTTAGTTTTTGGAAAATAATATGATACTTTTCTTTGCATTACCTTTTTTAGCAACAAATTGTCAACAAATTGTTCG